ATGGGAGAGGGAAAGGGAGAGAGAGAGCGAGAGAGAGAGAGAGAGAGAAAGAGAGAGAGAGAGAGAGAGCACTTGTTCAATAAATCATACTATCGTCACAAAGCCCAAAGTCAACAAATTTATCCTGGTGTGACATTGCAAGCCTGGTCGGTGGACTGTGTACCAAGTCATGTTGTGTTCAAACAAAGCTTGTGACTAAATTGGTTGTTTTTAGAGAAGAAAATTACTTGTTGTCAATCTGTACTGTCAGTTCTTCATGGGTTTTTGTTCCATTGTGAGGGGCATGTTTATACTGCAATCTAAAAAGAGATGTGTGCTTCTCCCATAACCAAGATTTAGATATTTTTGCTAAGGTCTTTCGCATTTTTTTTTCCAAGATAACATTGAACTGGCATTTCATGATTGAAAAAAAAAATACCATCTTTGCATAATGAGTCATATTTACTTTATGCAGCAAAAGACTAATATGGATGATGCAATAAACTTTTTCACATTGACTCCCCTGTTTTCAATTGAACTGTCAGTTTTTGTGACTTGTGTGCTGTTGTGATCAGCAAGTTGTAGGCCTGCTATCGATCGGATCTGGCAGGCAGGCTCAAAGCAGCTTGTCTCCTAAATAATTTATGTTGTATGGGCGGGGGTGTAAAATATCAACAGTTACAAATATAAGGTTTTAACTTCTATTTGAATAAGACTAGCACAGTACTTCTACTGTTTATAAGATTAAGTGCTGTTTTTTCATCGCTTTGTCTGCAATTTTCTGTCAAATTTTCATCGTCCTTATCTCTACTTCTTCTTTTCTTGATACGTTACTCTCTAATCTTCGGCACTTATAACACTTGTTTGTATTTGTATTGCAAGTGCCGTGAAACTCTTATTTAACCCTATCCATACGTCGTGTTTTACTATCTATCCATATGACGTGGGGAACTCTGTGCTACCACTTTCCAAAGAGAAAATTTACTCGTTAATCGGATCGTATGCTTTACCTAGCAATCTGTTTAATGATTGTTTTTAGAAATACTGAAAGTTTCAAAGAGGTCTTCGCACTAGAAGTATTCTAAAATGTAAAGAATACAACCCCAGGGGTACAAAATGACCCCAGAGCGTACGGATAGGGTTATATAATAAAAAAAAGACTGCAATCGGCATTTTGTGGCACATATTACATTTTCTTCACAGACCATGTCAATGTGTGCTGTCATCATAGATTGTAGAATCTTGTCCAATCTGCAACACAAGCGCTGGTCTATGATGGGGATGGTTCTGGTCCAACCTCCTGTAGGGGCGTTATAGATCAAGACTTGGTTGGAGAGATGTCACTGCTCTCCACCCACGTGGCTCATTCCTATTAGAAATGGTCATTAAAAATGTATAATCTCGCCGTGGCCCCCCCCCCTCCCCTTTTTGCAGTAACCGTAAGTGTTGAACGGGGTGTTATATATTTATAACAACCATATCTTTACATACCATCCCTTACTACTGGGATACAATAAATAAAAATCAAGCTCCCTCTGTAGGGGCACCCCCCCCCCCCCGCCCCGCTTGGTTGGTACTTTCTGACACCACGACGTTAAGACGTTGGCGTCTCTGGATGGCATCTTTCCTATTTACAATGTCTTCTGTTCAGCTCCCTTCAGTGCCGATCTATCGTCTCCAACGAAAACGAGACTCAGGAACCGAAGAGTGTGTCGCCCTACCTTTGAAATGGCCTATGTGACCCCCGCCCCCTCAAACACACACGCACAGAAATGCACGCACGCACGCACACACACACACACACACACACACACACACACACACACACACACACAAACACACACAGACGAACCTTGTAAGTCCAGCACTGTGACTTAGCTGCGTGTTGGAATTCCGTCTAGGCGAGCCTGGTTCAAACCCCAAACAGGCTTTTCTCAAACTGCGTCGAAAGGAGCGCTAGGTTTATTTCTCTCACATAAAATGAGTAATTGCATAGCCGTGTTCCCCCTTCCTGGAGAAATTTTGAACAAAAAATACTCAGAGTATTTCTGGAATTTTAAGGTAAACTTTTGTTTATTTTCGTTTGAAAACAAATAATTTTATCACAGAATCGCAAAATGTGCACAAATGATGGACACTTGTCTTCGGGTTGTGACTTAAAAATTGTAAGGTAAAGAAAAACTATTTTTAAAAAGAAAACGTAGAGAAATATAATATTCATCTTCATCCCGGTTCTGAACATAAATTCTGTTTTTGGTAAGGGCTTAGTCAATGTTAACAGAAAAACGAAAAATATGGACGGAAGTTTTCACAATAAAAGATACAAATCGATAAAACGCACAATGCAAGTATTACAGTGAAAATGAAAGTCCGTACTTCTAGGGGTTATAATTCACATTCTGCTCTGCGTTCATGTCTCCATTGTCTTTCTTTCAAAAGGAGAGCCAGTTTATTTCAGCTTACCTGTCTGTATACGATAGCAAAGAAACACTCAACAATAATAGTAAAACGACAATATACTTTAAAAAATACAGATTAACTGTTGGACAATACCTCCTGTATGAAAATGTAATGGTGTGGAGACTAAGCAATGGTTGAGAGTGAAGAAGAATGAACGGTTGAGGAGGGATGAAGAGAATGACAAAAAGATTTCAGACGAGTGAATAAAAAAAATAAAGATCTGATGAATTCATAGATAGACTGCCTGCTGGCTGGGTTGAGATGAATTTAAGCTCACGTTTGGATAGCACAACAACAACTACTTTTCGCAAAGCTGGGGGGGGTAGAGATACATTATTAAATAGACAGATTGATGTACAGGGAAACGGTGGAATGGAAGGGTAGATCCATGGGGAATGGATGAGCTCTGGGATTAGTCAATGAAATTATTTACCAATTAATTATTGACTCAAAGTGTGGCAGAGAATCGGAACGTTTCGACGTACACGTCAATAGCTCTGTTAGAAGCAATCTAGCCATATTGAGCACAAAATCATTTCATTCATACAGGAATATAAGGAGCAAAGACAAGATTTGAAGAGTAGACATATTATAATATAGTAGTGTTATGTTATGACAGTTAATTTAATGAAAAGACATCATTGCTGATGCGAGCCTTTCATGTTACATCGATTATCACGCCTTTGCATCAAACTAATTACCATATCATCGCACTTCAAGTATTATAATATCTATTGTATACTATAAACCCTTTAAAAAAGCTCAAACAAAGGTAAAGGCGCGAGCAGATAATCTAAAGTGATAGCGACAACAAGACACGTCTTTCTTTTTGACAAAGAGACTCAGTATACCACATCTTCAACCGAAATCAGTATGAAACAAAGGCAAAGTGAAATCGGGCTCTATAACAACTAATTATCGTCCATAGTAACATATTTATGGGCGTTCGTTCGTTGAGCGGTCGTAGGACTACACTCTTGTCATATCTACGCCATATTAAACATATATGATACACGTATACATAATACATGTATTATGTGCAAAGCCAAAAAAATGAAACGTTGGGAGATATTTCTTCTATGCCTCAACAGCGCAGGTGGTCTCACAACAAAAAACTACCCTCCAGGTCCTTTAAGACAATGTATCTTTATCAATGTCAAGAATAAAATTAATGATACAAACTAGGCGAGGTTCGTTATGAGTATTTCAGTTACTTGCAAATGGGCATGAAGGCTCTTAAAAAAAATTGGCTAGCTTTTCCCGAAAAACTCACAGGTCATCTTTTAATTATTGGCAGTTCATTACAATTACAAGATGGTTCATTTTTATTTTCAAAATGTTTTCGGTGGTCTCCGTGCAATATGGTCGCCACCAACAAATTTGTTTCATTTCTCAAATAGAAATTCTCTTAAAATAAGCTCTGTTCATACTTTTGTATACAAGAAACGTAATTCCTTTGTAAAAGTATACAAGGTGCAAGAACAATAATATATTATATAGAAGACGTCACTATTCTTTACAGTATCCCAAAAGGAGGATTAAATAATTTTAATTTTAATCTGCCTTATACTCTTTACTATTATCTGTTTCGAGAAGGCCTTTAAAACTCCAGGGTATCATATTTACAATTCTCCTTAAGGAAGTGAATAAAATTAATTGTTGCAGGCTGAACTTTCTCTTCTCTCAAATTCCCAGTTCACGCATCACATTCAGCGTTAAACCTGAAACGGCATGATCGATCAGAAAAAATATTCGAATGAAAGCAAGAACATTTCATGTAAAAGAAACACCAATGTAACAAATTATGTCAATATTAGTTACGTATGTCATTCTCCCTCGAATGGGGAGGGGGGAATTGCAAGCAAAAAAAATGCGATTCTACACGCTTCGCTTTCGTTTCTCAAAACTATAATTATAATATACGTCAAACGTCAGAAATGGTTTATTTTAGCGTCCAACAACAACGATGGCGGGGGGTAACAACATTTCTCAAGCGAATTCAAACTTCCAAACTGTGTAGAGAGCATGGTCTAAAATTTTTAAAAAAAAAGTTTCTTTGTGAAACACTAAAGAAACACGCTGCTATGTGTTTGAAATTTGATTTCTCACAAACGTCTGTTTGGCATCCAAAATAATAATTTAAAAAATGTTTGTCCGCTCAGCCACATTATAGCATTCTATAGCCTTGTAGACGAGGAGCAAGCCTCTTCCCACACCGACGTCAGATGGATGATGGATGGGATGGAGCTTATTTTAGAGTGCCATTGACCCAAATCTTCAAGATGGTGAATATTATATCTTGAAACTGGTTAGTCATAATAAACAGTGGCTGACGTCAACATCGTTTCGGAACCAAGCACTGAGGCACATCAAACCTTGTTTTTTTTCTTCAAGCAATTGGCTTTTTACAGACCTTCAGTATTTGCTAATCAGGTAGTGCAAGGTCAGAATAGACCCCCTCCCCTCATTTTTCCAATTTGTAAAAGGTATTACATTGTATGAACCCCCCCCCCCAACAATAAACAAATAAGAAAACAACGATAAATAAACATTTCAACCTCTTTTCTGGTATTCAGAAAGAGTAGAACAAGCGGAAAGGCCGATTACCATGTCAGCAGTATAAAAATAACCGTTAGACGTAAATAAAGTTGTAATACGCAATAGAAGAATAATATGTTTTTCAACAACAAGAAATCCATTAGGCTCACACGCGTTGCGAGGACAGCTATAATATATGTGGCACAGTAGACTGACGCTACCGTAAGGAGTAGAGTTAAATTTTGAAGACATTCACTCATGTACATGTAGATCTATTTACTATTTGTGTCGGAGTCGGTATGGATTTACAGACATCTTGAAACCAGGATTATGCAGTGCATCAGTACGTTGCCACCTTCCGAGGGAAATGAATCGAGTATAAATTTTGGTTTGCTTAGCCCCGTTTGGCTCAGCAAAATGAAATTAGCTGTAAATTCAGACCGAAATGAAATGGTGGATCTAGCTTTCGAAAAGATGCATCTATAGCACATGACGAGTAGGCTACATAATGCTAGTTGTCTATTGTAATGAGCATGCCCAGTTTGTTTACTTCCAGACAAAAAAGTAGATGACTACGCTACTTCCCTTGCAGGGCAACGATGTGTACAAACAGATTGTTTGAAAGAGTGGTGGTCTTCAGTTGACCAATCTAAAAAGAGGTGCAAGATGCCTGTCCTGTTATGGTAAAAAGCTACCATAAAAAGCAGTCACGTATCCAAAATAAAGGTTCTCATATGGACAGAACATACTCTGCACGCTAATAGGTTAGTTTGTATTGATACTTTAAAAATATTCTTGGATGCAGTTCGGTAACATTATTGTTGTGAGAAAGTTTGTATTGAATCTTTATATCCCTGTGATTTCAACAATTTAAACAACCTCTTCTGCCAATTAGTGCTGGTGTTTGTAATCAAAGAGCAAAGCTGCCTCGAAAAATCAGTCATCTGCATCTTTGTCCAGGATCCCCAACTTCTGTCCAATCCATCTGGCTTTAGCAAGGATCTCGTCCTGCATAAGCGAGAAGCACATGGACAAGATAGCCATCCCGAAGAGAACGTAGACAGAGCCCAGCAGAAGTTGCGCCTGCGCCTGGGGGTTCTCGAAGTCTGTGCCCGGAACTACGTCACCGAATCCGATGGTGCTGAGCGTGATGAAGCAGAAGTAAGCCGACTGCAGCCAGTCCCAGCCCTCCCAGAGGCCGAAGAGAACGGCGCCGCCGAAAATGTAGCCGCCGATAACTATCATGGTGATGGTGAGGGGCACTGTGATCTTCTTCTCATCCAAATCGTCTTCGTCTTCGCTGTCGCTGTCGTCGTCCAGAATGACTGGGTCGTTCTTCTTCACATCCAGGGGTACTATCTTCACCTGGTGATGTAATAATGATAATAATAATAATGATAATAATAATGGTAATTAAAAAAAAATAAAAAAATAAAAAAATAATAATGATAATAATGATGATGATAATACCATAATATGAATATCTTCTGAATGTAGTTTATGCAATGTCTTGTCAAAGATCCGTAGCTACTCCAGGCCAGCCTCATTCATTGTTCCTCATATCTAACAATCCATAAAAAATAACCTTTCAATTTGTCAAAAGCAATAGCCTAATTGAAGTCTTGTGTGCAAACCTTTAGCAATAATAACACGGTGGTTCTTTCATTCTGTCTCACTGTCTCTGTGATTCTCTGTCTCTCACACACTGTCGGTTCACCACCTCTATCCCCGACTCTCTCTCT